CTCGTCATTGTCATAAAATATCCAAATCTACCATGAAAAACATTAGGCCGATATGGATATTGCACATAATGCTACTTTCAAGGTGTTGGTCAAAATTAAATTTTGGCAAAATAAAAACTCATACGTACTCCTTCCGTCATTTAAAGTTCTTTCCTTATTGACTTTTTCAGAAATTAAGGGAGAGATATTTTGGTGTTGATTTTCTAAAAATACCCTTGATGTGATGGTAAAAGTTAGATGTGATGGATAAATTATTAGTAAAAAGGTATGATATGATAGGTAGGGTATGAAAAAATAAGGGATAAAAGTGGTTTTTTAATAAATAAAGAAAGGAGTTAGTGGGACCAGAAAAAAAAAAGGAAAAGAGTTTAAGGTACGAAGGGAGTATTTGTTAGGAGTTTTACAAGGTAAAAATCTCTATAAGTTAGGAGAGATTTTTATTCCGACTTTTAGAGCTGTTGTTTTTCAAAGGTTACACAAAAGATGCTTCAGCGCACTGTGACCGGATCGGCAAGGCCTATGCGAAAATTAGAGTTTGCAATATGCAATTTTAAGAGCAAGAGACTTATTTGGAATGCAAATACTTACTGTGATTTACTTCTTCCGTCCCTTAATCAAAGTTTTTCCCATTTTGACTTTTAGAAGAATTAAGAAAGGGATATTTTTGTGTTGACTTTTAGAATAATTAAGAAAGGGATATTTTAGATGTGATTACTAAAAGTAAGATGTAATGGGTAGATTATAAGTAAAAAGGTATAATGTGATAGGTAGGGTATGATCGAATTTATAGGGATAAAAATGATTTTTTAAAACGAATGAGAGACTAGTAAGAAGAAATTTAATAATGTATTCAAGACAAATTCCATAATACGAATGGTTTTTTAATAATGTATTCAAGACAAATTCCATATATGAAATTTGCACCTGAATAGGACTAAAACATAAGTCATTTTCCAATGTAGGACTTAAACTTGTTTATTCCGTAAATAGGACTTAATAATGACTAGTGAGAAGAATAATGTCCAAGTGATGTAGGACATTTAGTTGAATAATGACTAATAGATAATGACCAATGATCCAACATTGGAAAATAAAAACATATGGTCCCATATTGAGAAAGTCATTATGTTTTAGTCCTATTTAGGTAAATTACACATTCTATATACCTATTCCTACTAATTTAAGATTGTGTTTTAAGAGGCATATCTGATCTAAACTTAGCACTCAGCAGATCCCTGAGATTTCTTAGAACAATCAAGAGGAAAAAAATGAAAAACATATGTTGATCTAAAGCTTTCTCGTCATGTCCCGGAGATACCATTTGCTTGAAGAAGTTGTAATTTGCATGAACAAGGAGATCTTCAATGTCAAATAGATCATAACATATAGAAGTTGAACCCAAGCTGATCGAACAAGAGAGTTGCCAACAAGTTTGTCCTAGCGATCTTGGTGAAGATGTGATAGCCAAAGCACATTCGTACAACATATGATACGGGTTAGAAATCCTAGATTAGAGCTTTAATTTTGTCACAACAATTCAAAGAAGTGTATCTCATCATGTTATTTTGTACTGGTGTAATATGTTTCTGGTGATTTAGTGCATGCTATTACACAAACATAGACTCTGCACGGTATGAAAATTTCTTCGAATTGCGTAAACATATCTAGTGTATGTTATTCTTTACGATTTTTATACTTACGTTGTTACAACATTTTGGCAGTAGGTGTTGTAACACCCTCCCAGTTATCTGGTTCAATTCTGTGTCCAGATTTTTTTTTTTAATCGTGAAATTGATTTTAAGATCAACACACAACTCTAATCAGATCAGGATATTTCATATAACCGATCGACATGAACAATCCTAAGTCTACATTTCAAATGTGCTTTAGGATCACAATAGCACAAGTCTTCTGGTTAAATGTTATGGACACCATTGATTAACAATTAAACTCTTACATATTTTCTTTTGAAAAAAAACTCATAGAGTTAGTTGAATATCTGAAAAATATTACTACAGACTTTTTTAATTTAAATTTGATAAATTTTGATCAATAATTAGATAAAACTATATTGTATATTATTATAATGAAACAATAATTAAAAAAATAATACTTATGTATCTTTAAAAAATTATCCAAAACTCTAGCACTAATTGAAAATATTGTGTCCAAGTAAAGCCTTAAAATACTTAATAGAAAATACATTTGAGTGATAGTGAATTTTCTAAAATGAAAAATATATATCAATAAAACAATCTTTTATTAAAAACAAAGATTTCAGAAAATTTTAGGCTTATATCTTATCTAAAGGATCTCTCACATGTATTTTCACTATGACATTTTAAATTATCCTTAGTCAAATGATTAACAGACATTTTAGTGATATGTTCCAACTAAAAGGCGGTGATGATATATTATTTCGTCACGTGAAATTTACACTACAAGTCTATATAACCCATACTTGTTTGACGTGAAATGTCTTTTTGGCTTTTTGATGGACAATCAAAAGTTTTTCTAAGTCTTTTTGGATATAACCCATACGATTCTATATATTTAATATTTTTGTTTAAATCAATTCAAGAACATCCACAAAAATATTATCCTTCCTTCAATCTACAAATAGAATGGTTAATGCACATCTCCCTCTGTCATTTACAATATCAAATCCAACTTTTTCTTTAATGCATAACTTACAATTAAAGGGCGATTTATGTACATACAAAAAGAGTAATAAAACCCGCTTTGTATAATTAAAGAAATACAAGTAGTTTATAACTTCGATGCCTGTGGGTTGTTTTAAGAAAAATTTACTTAAATAGGACTACTAAAACATAATAATAACTTTCTCAATATAGGACCATATATTTTCATTTTTCAATGTAGGACCTTTAGTCATTATCAATTAGTCATTATTCAAGTAAATGTCCATCATTATTGGACATTATTCCTCCCACTAGACATTATTAAGTCCTATTTAAGGAATAAAAAAGTTTAAGTCCTATATTAAGAAATGACTTTTGTTTAAGTCCTATTTAGTACAAATTTCACTTGTTTTAAAGAATTACTACATACTCCGTAGTTTAATTTACTAGTAATTTGCTTGAGCCAATTCAGGTCCTTTGCAAGTTACATATCAACTTGCTTCCATCGCTATCTTTGTCTACTTCAAAATTCAAATTTAGAATTTAAATTTTATGATTTTCCAACAACATCTAGAATTTAAAGTAATGCGATTTTGAATATTAAAATTGAAATTTAAGATTTCTCATGAATTATAGTGTCTAAACATTACCTTTAAAAAATTTCAAAAACTAATGATATTTTTTGAAGTGGAATTACACCATAATACCATATATTAAGATGGGTTTAATTGGATTCTGATCTAAAAGGGAAATTTATCTATATTGTACTAAAATATGGTGAGTTTCCCTATTCAGTATCGTATGTTTCAATTTTTCAATATCGTGTCATTGTTCAATATCCACTAGACATTGTTCAAGTAAATATTCACCGTCACTAGACTTTGTTCAGGGTCCGTTTGGTATATGGAATTGATGGAATTGGAATTGAAATTCCATGAGATTCAATTTCATAAAATTGAATTCATCAATTCCAATTCATTTTTTGCACTACCAATTCCAAATCTATATAATTTGTGTGCTACCGAACACCAGAATTGGAATTAAAGTCCTTAATTCCAATTCCATAGTTTGAATTCCGTGTACCGAACGAGGCTTCAAAGTAAATGTGTACCCTCAGTGGACATTCTTCAAGTACTACTCGGAGAATAAAAAGTTTTAGGTAGTATATTAGGAAAAGACATACTCATATTTTAGTACTATTAAATACAAATTTCACGTTCTAAAATGTAGGGGTGAGTTTGCGATTTCTGATTTGATTTTTAAGTAAAAATTAAAAGATGAAACTCAAAATAAAAGTAGCTTAATTCAATTTTAGACACTAAAATTTCAAGAGTTCTTCTTTGGGGGCTTGAAGTTTAGACTCCTTTTTGTGAATTTTCTCACAACATAAATATTTTTTGAATTTTTTAATTTTTGTAAAAAACAAATGCTCATAAGGTGGTAAGTAGGTATTTGCTTAATTACCACTTTCATCTATAAGCCCATACAAAATTGTGTGGAACATACGTCACTTTAGTACTCCCACCGTTTCTTAAAACCCTTCTTTTTTCATTTTTTGTTTTCTTTAAAAGACATACTTTTTCTATTAAAAAACCACTTTTATCCCTACTTTTTCATACCCTACCTATCACATCATACTTTATCATTAATAACTAAACTATCATATCTTACTTTACTCATTACATCAGGGGTAAAATTGGAAAGTCAACTAAAATTAGACTTTCCTTATTTTTCCCCAAAATCAAAACAAGAACCGTTTTAAGAAACGGATGGAGTATTTGCCAATTTTCAAATTGTTATTGCTTGAGGACTATGCTTAAATTTGTTGTACATATTTTATAATGTAGTTTCAATTCGATCAACAATACCAAATACCCGATAATATTTTTTTGAAAGAGACGAAGTCTAAAAATAAGATCTCTATGTTTTATTTCAAAAACATTTGTTAGAATATCAATAATGTCAATATATAATACCAAAACACAATGTGAAATATTACTATACAGTGATACGTTATCACAATGCGAACATTTATTTTGAGATAAAAATATATGTCGCTTATATTTTGAGAATAATAAAGAATATGATTTGGTCCAATATAATATATTTTGGGTGATCGACTTAATTTTTAAATTTTTTTATCATGCATTCACCTTAATATAACTAATCCAATAATCCAAATCCCTTGCGGTCGAGTATGTTTTCACCAACATAATTAATGCCAAATCTAAATCATAACTTGCTCAAATTTAAAAGCAATGAACAAAGAGATAGTATAACTATATATGAAGAGCAATCAAGAATTTTAAGTACAACAAGTAGCTAGCTAGTACCAGTATAACTTTGATTTCAAACCCTAGAAATTAAAGCATTTCATTTAGTGAAGAGAAGATAATGAAATTGAAGGATCATTATTCATCAATAATCTAAACTATCCAATTCAATAGTTCCAAAGGCTTTCGGTTTCGGCATTTTCCGACAAGTCATCGGGCGTCGGCGACAAGCTCATCCGTGGCGGGCTCACCATCATCCCCCCCGCCATGTCGACCAACAAGTTGTGCATGCCGAACAACTCCTCTTCGTCGATATACCTTGCGCCGAAAACCCTAAAATCGCTCCTTTCAAGGCGACCCGTCACACCCGCGCTCGTTTCCGGCTTCATCATTGAGGCAGCGAGGGCGGCGGCACGTCGTATTCCCGCCCCGTCTGTGGAAAGCGGGGCGGGGTAGCTCCCAGCAAATGCGGGAAAGTTGAGCACCGCATCCCCGCTCCTGAGAGCGAGGGCAGCCGCGTCATACGCGGCTGCCGCCATCTCAGGGGTGGGGTAGGTCCCGAGCCAAATGCGGGTGGTCTTCCGGGGCTCTCGTATCTCCGACACCCACTTGCCGCTCCGGCTCCTGACTCCCCGGTACTTGGGGTGCTTAACAGCCCCGGTCCCGTCAGACATTATCGATTCCGCCTCCGAGGCCACGGCCTTCGCTTCCGGCGGTTGTTGTTGTTGCTCGGCGGCTAGCCTCCTAACCAATGAGGGAGGTTTGAGTAAGCTATGAAGCAGCTGATGGTTTATGATGAGGTAGGTAAAATGGGGTTTGACTAATTAGCTGGGAAGCTATGTTGAATTGTGAATTAGGGTCAGCCATGAATACATATATATAGAGAGAGAGGGGAAATGAATTCATCTGAAAGATAAAAGTGAAAGCGTGACGAAATCGTGGGTTGACTTATTAGGGTTTGTGTTTTGTAGGGTTTAGTCGTAATATAAAGACACTCATCTTAATTCTCTCTTCCCAAACTAAAGCCACAAATACTAGCCTTTTAATGGTTTTTTTTCTTAATTAGTTCCCACAATCATTTTATAAAATAACATAGTCATATTATTTTTTATTATATATACTACTCCCTCCGTCCCAAAAAGATTGAGACATTTTGACTAAAGTGATAGGTAGAGTATGAAAAAGTAAGGGGTAAAAGTGGTTTTTTAATAGAAATGAGAAGAACTTTAAGGGACGCAAATTTTTCGAAACGTAACAGACTTTTTGGGACGGAGGGAGTATTTGACTTCGTATATATGTGTGTGTGTGTGAAATTTTGGTTTCAAATTTCATACAAAATAATTTATTTGAAAATATATCTAATCAACCATCATAATCCATTTTGTTACTTTATTTAGTTATGAGGCGGCAAAGGGATTATTTCATTTATTTCATGTTTAACTACATATTTTTTTGATGGTTATCCACCTTTCAAGTTGCATGCTATTCATTTTATGAAAAAATTCATGCTAATACTACCAATGTTAAAAAGTCACTTTCACTACACATGTCACATTACATCTATTCACTATTAATCAATCTATCAAATTCTAATTTTTTATTCATCACATAAATGACATTTTAGAAAACTCATTACCAAAATATACTTACCTTAAATCTTTTAACTTCTGGTTCAAGTTTAATGACATCCCTTTCCTTTTTAAATGTCGTTTCAATGTTTTCTAAATGTATATACTCCGTATTGAATTAGTATAATCATAAATATTAGGTAAACTGTAACTTTGTTTTAAGGACGGATTGGAAGGAGGGTACTTTGAAAGTTAGTTTTGGAATATCATATTTTTATATTCCGTCCCTCATCTCTAAATACATTTTCCATTTTAACTTTCTATGAATTTAAGAGGACGATATGTTTTTCCTTTGACTTGAATAAATTGCACTTAAACAAAATTTGTAAAAGTAGAATATGTTGAGTAAATTATTGTGAATATATATGATGTAATAGGTAGAAATAAAATTAGTAGGGTTAAAATGACTTTTTAATAAAAGCAAATTTTTTGGAACAACCAAGAAGTGTTAGAGAAAATGTTTTTCGATACCGAAGGATTACAAATCAATATATAGGCTCCATTTGGCGACATTGTTAGAGTTAAGCGTTAGCATTTTGAAAAGACTATTAATGGTATCTTTTAGGGTTAGAATTTTGAAAAATTAATTTACACCATTAAAATTTTATTCAAAACCCTAATGTTAGTTAATCAAAAACATAAATGCCAAAAAAAGACGGCTCACATGTTTTCTCTCATTAAAACAATTAAATTTAGAAGCATTGATATTATTTGTTGAATTTTGGCGTGAGTATGTAAATTAAAATTACGCCATTCAGAAAGGTGAAAACTTCAAAAAATATGTAATTTAAATTAGAAAAATATAAACAAAATAGCTACGGAGTACTTAAATAGCAACCTTGTTAAAATAACGTTGTTTGTTATAATAACAATTGTAGTAGCTAAAATAACATGTTTAATTTGTTCGTATAATTTATGAATGCCCAAAAATTAAAGTTATCGCTAAATTTATTATTTTCTACTCCCTCGATCCCACATTTTCGCTCTTTTTTCTTCATTCGTCCCAAAAAACATTTCTCTTTTTTTATTAAAAATTTACTTCTATCCGTACTAATTCTTAACCTACCTATCACATCTTTTTTACTATTAATCTATCCATCACATCTACTTCTACCCATTACATGCATTTAAGATTATTTTTGAAAAATTAACACCAAAATACATTCTCTTTAAATTTTTTAAAAGTCAAAACCTGAAAGATTTTATAGGACGGGAGGGAGTAGCATTTAATTACTTAAGGGGCAAAAAGTTGTTCATGGCTGTTTTTTTAATTAATTAAATCTACTTTGTCCAATCCATTATATAGTGTCACCAACAAATCAAACATCAATGTGGGTACCCATGTGGTCGTGTACAATGTCCGTAGAACTCTGCGTCTAAACCCTTTATCATATCGTGGGTACAAACATTTAATGCATGCGGAAGTTTCCCTACGTATGTTTATATTGTCAAATAATGTTATGTCAAGCATCAAAATACACCATTCTCTACTAAAAATGAAAAAAAAAAATAATGACTCTCTACCCAAGTCTCTATAATTAGTTATGAGCAGATAAATGAACTTAAAATTTTTGTATGATAAACAAAAAGCGGGTTTTGTTCAATTCTTAATATGTGTAGTAAGTGAAATTTGCACTAAATACGACTAAAACATAATGACTTTCCCAATGTAGGACTTGAACTTTTTTATTCCCTAAATAGGACTTAATAATGACCTAGTGGGAGGAATAATGTCCAGTAATGATGGACATTTACTTGAGTAATGACTACTTTATAATGACCAAAGGTCCTACATTGGGAAATAAAAACATATGGTCCTATATTGGGAAAGTCAGTATGTTTTAGTCTTATTTAGGTAAATTTCTCTATGTGTAACGGATCTATGCTACGCACGAACGGCATGTTTGCTTTTTATCGTTATTGTGAGAAGTCAAATTACGAAAACGTGCATTATCTCATTAAAAATTTACTCAAATAAAATCATTCCAATTTTTCTTTATAGGGGGGTAGGAGAATCAGAAAGAGACTAGTAAGGGGTGGGGGTATATGAGCGGGGTTAGAAGGAGTAAAAACCATCGATTTTGCAATTTGACGATTAGAATAAGTGAATAACGGGTGATGACGGTTTAAGGTGGTACTACTACTCATCTAAAGGGTGGTTTTCATAATGAACCCATATACTCCATTCAACATTCTTTCCGCAAGAGAGTTCTATTTTTTTACTATTCAAAAATTTAAGGAGTGTCAGGGCTTGTTCTAAGGATTTGGTGACCCTCAACGAGACGAACAAAATGAGTCTTGACCCTAACAAATTAAATTATACCTCGTATATATTACGGAGTATTTCTTTAAAACAACATTTAGTATTATTATAAAAATAATTCTTTAACCCCGTTTTATTGGGAATGGACTAACAATGAAATGCAAAAAAAGTAAATAAAATATTTGAGTTCCATTTCCGATCCATTAGGCCGAAAAACTTTGAGCCAAGTGCGGTGCCATGTCCCGTTATTGTCTGCATGGATGTGTTGGGCATACTAAAGTAAAATGTAGGTCTAACAAATTGTTTATATGTCGAGATAAGAGGAAATAGTACGTTTTCAACTAGGTGTTGATAGTTTATTGGTTGAACCAAAAGTACATTTTTGGTGGTACATTGGAGGGAACATTGATTCAATTAATTGAGTGGCATTCCACAAACAAGTCAATTGCTTAGAGCACTGGGTATACCCGCAACGCCCCCCGGCGTGATGGGGCGTTTAACGCCCCGCCGGCGTTAAACACCGCCCCCCTCCGGGCGTGATGGGGCGTCGCGGGCGCTGCGTCAAAGGAATGACGCGGCGTCATTCATTCCCTCCCCCTCCCCAACGGCTAGAAAGCCGTTACAAATTTAAAAAAAAAATTATTATTTTTTCCTATAAATTCAAACCCTCCCCCTCTCAATCTCTCACACTTCATCTTCTCAATTTCTTCTTCTTCTAATTTCAAAATTCGAAATTACTCTATTTTTATTCATCATGAATCCTTCCGGCTCCGGCTTCAATCCTGACAATCTCCCCCCGAGTAACGCTGCGATGTGGTTCTACCAAGAGTACGACGATCGACCGCCGATATACGAGACGCAACAATCGGGGTACGTCGACCGAGATTCGGTTCCGGAGACTCAACCGGAACCGTNCCCGTGACCAACTCACTTCCAAATGGAGCCACATCAACAAAAAAGTACGAAAATTTATGGGAGTATACGAGGAATGCTCCCGGTCCCGGAGGAGCGGCATGAACGACGCCGATGTTCTCCGGCTTGCCACGACCCGGTATCAAGACGACGGGAACCAAGGCAAGGTGCCCATCGATCTTTGGGGGATTTTGAGTCGTTCCCCGAAGTGGCAACAACTCAACAATCCCGACGGCGGACCGTTCCGGACCGACGGCGGATCATTCCGGAAAAGATCCACCGTCGACGCCGAGGTTGAGGTTGACGAGACTATCGGTTCTACCGATCAAATGCCTCCCTTCAAAGTTGCGGGTTCCGATGACGAAGACCCCATTCCACGGCCGATCGGAAGAAAGAAGGCAAAATCCATTGCCTTTGGTTCGGGAGGGTCCGCCTCTGTTTCCGCTTCTCCCCGCGACGAAATTGGCCGGGCAATGGTTGAACAACTTCGGGCGTTCAATCTCCAAGAACAAGAGAGGTTGAAGCTTAAAGAGAAGGAGTTGAAGCTAAAGGAGCAGGAGGCCGAGATGAAAGTCATGCAAACCGACCCTGGGACGTTGTCGGAGTTTGGACGAATTATCTACGAGCAAAGAATGAGAGAGATCAAGGAGAAATATAATTTACCTTAGTTTTTTTATTAATGTATCTTTTTTTTAAATTATTGTCGCTTTTTTTTTATTTAATTAATGTGTTTTTTTATTATTCGTGTTTCAATTTAATTAGATAATAAATTAATTACATTTTATTAATTTAATTTTAGAAGATGTATATTTAAAAATGTAAAAAATGAAGGTTTGAAGCCCCAGTTTGAAGCCCCGGGGCTTCAAACCCATTTCCAGTGAATTTTGGGTGTAAGTTAAAGCTGACGTGGCAGAGAGAGAAAGTTTGAAGCCCCGGTTTGAAGCTCCGGGGCTTCAAACGTATTACCAGTGCTCTTAGTGTCAAGAGTACATATCCAATAACAAAGATTAGTTGGAACAAAATCATTCTTTATTTCATTTAGCCATTAATGTAGAATTTAGCAATCTAAAATCTGAAATTTTTATTCATATTGGAGTGAGGCCAAAGACTCGTGGCTCTTAGAGCATTGGCAGCGGCGTTCCAGCCCAATGCCATGCCATGCCACTTAGGACCAATGTCATACCACATAGGACAAAAAAATTTCCTTCCATGCGTGGAAGCACCGTTCCTCCATGAATTGCAAGGCTTGGGCGAGGCAGCTTTTTTTTACCTTTCAATTTTTATTTGAGAAAGATTTTTTTTGTAAAGTACGGAGTAATAGAACTATTTTTTACTTTCTCCATCTCGCAATAGATTATGATACCTCTCGATATCTTTTGTTTATTTGTATGTTTTCATTGGTTATTTAATTAAAAAAATTTTGTCACAACTTTTTTTGTAGAACTTTTCATGTAATTTTTAAATTTGTAAGTTTTATTTTTAATTCTTATACCAATTTTTAAATGAAATGATTTTTAAAAATAGAGAGTTTTTGCATCATAATTCTAAACTAATAATCTAAATTGAGATTAATTAGGAATAAATAAAAATATGGAGTAGATAACACAAACATTTTTAATAATTAAAATATATATATATAAAATTATTTATTTGAGTAAATAGAAATATTTTCATGATAAAAATATATAAGTAAAATAATTTTTAATAATTCAAATATGGCAAAAATATGAAGAAAAGTGGTGAAAACAATGACTTGCCACTGCAAGGCATGCCACTCCACTCACGTGCCACTCGTTGACTGAACTATTTTTTATTGGTTGACATGCTCCACATCAGCGTGTGGCATTCCATCTTTGCCTCACCATTGTTCATGCTCTTAATGCTAGATTAAGAGCAAATTCATTTGAGATTTTGTTAATTCAGCGACTAATTCTTCTTACATTTATATACATTGAACTGTGTTCGTTTAACAAAAAATATGAGCTTGCAATCAATGATTCGTGAGTACCAATATTGTTTATAAACAAATCTTTAAAAAATTGCAATTCATTAGATATTCATGCTTTATACCTTATATTTCATCATGCAATCCGTTTATATTCTTCAATAATGACACAAATATAATTTCATAATGTAAATATGAGTTGTGCAATGCACAGATATTTTAGTAATAATTTTTTAAATACTTTAAAAGTGAATGAATGTAGATATAAAGTATAATTACATTCATTTATTTTTTAATATATCTAGAAAGTATTAATGGATAACTAATACACGAGCTAGTTTTATTAATGGTAGCTAGACGTAAGAATGTACTACGTAAGATGCAAAGCTCGGTCCTTAAATCGAAGGAAGCCCACGCGTTATGGATCCTGGAAAATCTAGCCTGGAAAGTGAGGCCCATTGTCATGGTTTGAATAGAGTAATGGGCCTGGATATGCCATTTGGGAGAGGCATCTCACGCGGGGCTAATTGTGATCTGTGATTAGTTTTATGATTAGTGGTTGGTAACTACTCAACCAATGTAGTACTATAAATACTTCTTCTCCACCTTCTAAATAAATAATTAATCCCTCCGTCTTATAATATTCTTCCCACACACTTTTTACACGGTCAAACTTTAATCACTTTCTTTACCTATTTTCATTAGGTATTTGATAAAATAATATAGTCTTGTCACCACTTGTTTTGTAGAACTTTTGATGTAGTTTTTAAATATATAATTTTTATTTTTTAATTTTACACCTACAATCAAATAAATTGAATTGAAAATAAAGTCGGTCAAACTTCGTAAAATGAACCGGGAAGATCATTATAGAACGGAGGGAGTACTTCTTCTCCAAGCTTGAAAAAGGGATCAAGTCCTTGATTCTCAAAGGTGTTAGTATTGCTTCTACTTGATATCTACTCCCACCGTCCTGTAAAATATTTCTTATTTTTGAATTTTAAGGGTTTTAGTTTTTCTTAAGTCTACTTAAACACCATAGGTTATACTCCCTTAATCCCGAAAAAGCGTTTGTATGTCATTAGAAATTAAAATATACTTCGGGATATTAAAATGTACCTACGTGAAAAGTATGCGGTGAAATCTGTTTAACAAAAAATTTTGTAGACAACATATTTTTTACATCTAAAAAAAAGAAGGAATGTGAAGTTTTGTTTTTCAACACCCGAGTTAAAAAAATTGCGAAGCTCTTTGTGAGTGTAAAGGAGCAATAGACTACTCCATAACAAATTAATAAAAGCAAATTGGGAGTACTTTTTTCTCAAACTCTCCCACTCCTCTTCCATTTCAAATCGATTCGTATGTAATGAATTCTTAAAAATAAAAATTAGAATTTTTTTAAATGATAAAACGAATATAAGAAAGTTTAAATATATCTTATAGACAGATATTACATTATAAGAGAGTTAACAATAATACTAGAAGAACAAAAAAATCATCATAACATTTTTTTGGGTGAATTAAGATCAACAGCTACATTGTGATGACTTTTTTTGCCCATTGGCTTGACATGCAGAAACTTCAATATATGTTGTTCCTATAAGATTTTTTTAGTGTCGATTTTGATTGAATTGTCATATTATAATATCAGAGTTTTACGATGTTTCGTTCGGTTTCGAAGTAAATCCCATTTTCCCAAACTTCCTCCTCTTGGCCTATAGTGTTTCGGTGTTTTCTGAGAAGGCGAGAGGAAGAGGACTTTGTGAGACAAAATTAGGGTTGGGGATTTATTTCGGGGCCTAAAAAAGTACGGTAAAACTTTCAAATAATCCAATTTCTTAATATGACATCCAAAATGAGTATCAAAAGAATATTGTCGTATGAGTATTGACGGTATTATTGTTATTGCTCTCAAGGGTTGAGTGTCCAGTCCTGAGGAGATCAAGATTTTGAATGTACTTCTGCACCCTCTTCACCTTCAACAAAATACAATGAAATCATCAAGAATTAATGTCATTCCATTAAAAACATCATATACTTTCCTCATACTAGATTATTCGTCGAATTTAACTTTTATGAATTAAATGACATGAATTATAATTATCAACTACATTAAATCTGGATGGTATTGAATAAAATAAATTTCTGAAATTTTTTTCTAAGATAAATCTATTGAATTTATTTTTTACTAATGTGCAGTACAATTAATATTTATTTGGTAACCAAAATTTCTTCGATTTGATTTGAAAAAAAAAACTGAACGAAATTTTTAAAATGAATGTAGTATATGCTATTGGGCATGTTTCAGAATAAAGTTTGTACTCCATTTGTCTAATAAAAGTTTTCCCACCCTCATTTTTTACATGCCAAAAGAATTTTTTTCTTTTTGGAAAAGAATGTAGTCCAAAAAACTTCTCTTTTTCTAAATAAACTTTGAGTAATGCTAGAGTCACAAACAAACAGTTCACAAAATTTACACATTTGTTTTTTTAACACTTTTCTAGAAATAAGATATACTCAAATGATAAAAGATATTTTAATTTAAAATTCACAAAAATCAAGTTTGTGAACTATATGTTTGTGACTCTAGCAATTTTCATAAACTTTAGTCAATCATCTGTTATTTCGGAGTATTTAACATATACATCTTGTCTACACCTTTTTAGACAATTCTTATGCTTTATGAACTCAAAGTGAGCAAATTGATTCAAAAGAATGGAGTACTCCTATACTTTCCTAATAAGAAAAGTAATACTCAGTACTTTATACGAAAAAAGATTAAATTAAGAGTAAAATATTAAAAATTTACTAAAATATGAGTTCCATGTCTTTATTCCCGAAATAAGAGTTAAAATACATTTATATTACCAATTATGACCACGTACATTACGTTAAATGTACCTGAACAGTACGTGATACATTATCACAGTACGAACTTATATCTAAGGAATAAAAATTTGGAACTTCTATTTTAATACTTTTTTATGTTTTAGTCCTATTTAGAGTGATTTCTTTATTTTATACTCGTATATATTACTTTTTCTGTTCCCAAAAACTTTCATGTTTTGACTTTTTTTACCAAACAATGACACTCTTTGAGTACAAATTGTGAAAAGAGTACATTTTACTTATAATATATAGTACTCCCTCCGTTCTCAAAAACACTTTCTCTTTCATTTTTTCTACTTCCAATAAAACACTTCCCCTTTCTATTAAAAACCACTTTTACCCTTACTTTTTCATACCCTACCTATCACATCATACTTTTTCTCTAATAATCTATCCATCACATCTTACTTTTACACATCACATCAGAGGCAAAATTAGAAATCAACTATAATTTAACACTTCCTTATTTTTACCCCCAAATCAAAGTGGGAAGGGTTTTTTCAAACGGAGGGAGTAGAATTTACTTAAATAGCACTAAAGCATAATGACTTTCGCTAAATAGCACCACATGTATTTTTCTTCCGAATGTAGCACTTTTAGTCATTATGCATTAGTCATTATTCAAGCAAATATTTGTCATCACTGGACATTATGGACATTATTCAGTACTATTTAGGGAATAAAACAATTTAAGTGCTATTTAAGGAAATGACTTAAGTTTTAGTGCTATTTAGTGCAAATATTTCTAATATAAATTCAATATAATCAGGTTCATCTTAGTATATACTGCCTCCGTCCCAGTGTACTTGTCTAATTTGACTTTTTCAAGTCAAATTGGACAAACTTTGAACTCCAATTACTCTCAATTTATATTGCATATTAGCATAATGAATACAATTTTAAAAGTTCTCAAAACAATAAATCCAATAAAGTCATTTTTATGTTAAAATACATTACGGCTTTTATTTTTATTTAATTAAAGATCAAAGTTTGTCCAGTTTGATTCAAAAAAGTCAAACTAGACAAATACACTGGGACGTAGGGAGTAGTTTTGATATATGAAATTTTTATATCATTTATTTATTTAGATTATATTTAAGTTATGGTAAAAAAGTGTTACTTTTTGATCAAAAAAGTCAAAACATGAAAGATTTTTAGGAACGGAGAGAGTATGTATATACTCCCTCCATTCCTTTAAACTATATCCGAGTCACGTTTCAAGCCTAATGTTTGATCAACAATATTTCTTAGTTCCATATTTTTCTTTGTGTTGCGCAAAATGAAGAAAAATCTCAAAATTTTTTTTAAAAAAAAATTATTGAAATATTGGTGTAGAAAAAAAAATGAAATTTATATGTTAAAAAACTACATCAAAAGTTCAATAAAACAAGTGGTGATAAGAATATTTTATTTTATCATATAGGCTAGAAAAAACGTTAATAAATAAAAGTTCTCTTCGAAGAAAGGTATAGGAGGGTGACAAAACTCAAAAGACAATGAAAAATAATACATCAAAATTATTTTTTGATGCCAATAACTTTTTTATAAATTGTGTATCTTAATTTATTATATATTTTTATATATAATTAGTCAAATATTTAGCATGCAAAACATATCACACAATTAAAAAGCAATGGAGAGAGTATATATATATGCAGCGGTTAGGTTCCGTTAACATGGAATCGTCTAAAAATAGTTCCTACCCATGCCATCCTAATTAATCTCGTCCTAAAACAGGGGCGGCTCAAGGGAGGAGCAAGGTGGTCACTTGGCCAGGGCCCAATTTTTAGTATGTATACATGTATATATTTATTTATATAAAAAAATCCTAATTTATTTTTAAAAATACAGTCCTAAATCAGTAAATCTAATAAACTATGGAGAGATGATTAACCTATTTTCTCTCAAAAATAATAGAAAAACACCCCTAATTCCTTAGAGATGGCCCTGTCCTAAAACTAGTACAGTTCCAATGATTTGTTTCCATATATATACCTGCATTCTTCTCTGCACCTTAACGTCATCACCCTCAGCAGAAATGCCATCTAATTTCAACAGCTGGTTCATTAGTAATTCAATCATGTTCATTATAACTCCTTCTCCCACTTTCTTCCCACCATAAGCCTCCATTTCAACATCTCCCACCTTCCCAAAAACACACATGATAAAAGTGTTATTGAACCCAATTTAAACAAAACTTAAACACAAGTGAAAAAAATGAGAATTCATTAGGCCCATTAGATTTAAGATATAAGGACTATTAAAAATAAAAAATCTAAAAAATTTGAAAAAGTCGCGATGGCAATTTCTTTAACAAATTGAACTTTTCAAAAATGCACTACTACAAGTTTAAAATGCATCACAAACCTCTGAAAATGCACCATTCTATATGTGTGTGTGTGTATTTATGTATATATAGAGGATAATGCTAAAAAACCCTGCCTACGTTCCCGCCCATGACAATATTATCTACACAGACAAAAATTGTCCGCGCGTATTGTTCACAGATGATTATTATTTGCCCTGTTCACAGATGATTATGTCTGTGTAGATATAAAATTATCTGTATTGTCATGTGTGAGGTGTGGGTGGGGCAGGGTAGCACAGTCTAATTTTAGACTATATCACTCTCATTAACCAAGTCTATCACTCTATCGAAAGCTCAAATTCGTAGTTAAAACCAAGATTTAAAAAAATAATCATAAAAAAAAAATGTGTCAAACAATAAATTCTTTATTAAAAAACCTGTTTGGCAAGTCTATCTATTTCCACTCTGATTGCTGTGATTTCCTTTGACGGAACCGCCATTTTAGCCGGTTTTCGAGCTTCGAAATGCGGCCTTTCGACCCCCGGCGCTTCCTCCATTAACGCCGGCTTTGAACCATCTTTGAAGCCTGGGGAACTACTTTGATTATTACAATCACAGCTTCTTTTCTGCACCAACATCCCACCGGGTCGGAGCTCCCGCGCTGCCGCTCCGGAACCGCGGCTGCCGTTGGTTTCTGCCGGTGGAAAAGTTCTTTTCACGGCGGCGGCGGTGGCGGAGTGTGTTTTCTTGATTTTCAGCATGTCCCTGTTCTTAGTTGGAATTACAGAGTTTCTTTCTTTTGTTTGGTGAAGGGAATGTGTTGGGTAATACTATAAATAGTACTCTCCATATTTGATTTGACACGAAAAATTGAGTTATAGGATTAAAAAAACAATGTAGATGATAAAACAATTACTCGTATATTAGTAACAAAATATTTTATAAAAAGTGTAAAGTAAATTTTTTTTGAAAAAGAAAATATAAAATCTTTTTGTGTGAGAAGTAAATTCGTTTTGAAAAAAAAAATCCTTTCTTTTCTTTTTGCTTGTTCCTCATTTTTATCCTCATTTTTCATTTGTCATTTTTTACTGGCAAATTCTTATGTGAATTATAGTATAAAAATATCGTGTAAAAATTGAGATTTTTATTTAAAAAAATACTCCGTAAAAGATTTACTTGTAAATCCATTAAAAATATTTAAAAATTATTACATTTCTAATGAACTTTGAAACAAAGAAATACAACTCATTTTAGTTGGTGGTACGGAGTATAATAAATTGAAGAGTACTGGAAAAAAAGGTGAGTATTGTAAAAGGATAAATTAATGTATTTTGGACCATTATATTGTATTTGTTCACAATAATTTAGGATTGTTTTATTGACTCTTCTACCCCTAGTAAATTTTTCCCATAAAAATAAGAGTTTGTAACACCTCAATCATTAGAAGGCTCGTATTAGGAGTTTAGGACTAGTAAATGGAAGCCATACTCATTATTCTCTGTTCACATAAGATTTTGTAAGTCTGAAACAAAACTCTACAAATAATCACTCTTTCAGCAATATCATACAAGTTGTTCGAAAATTTATGATATAATGTCAATTTCTATAACAATTTCATAAGACTGGATAAGAAAAAATCACTGAAAAGACCACTAACACACCAGTTAAAAAGAAATATGAATCAGATAAATATTAAAAACAATTTGGGGATATGTGAAGCACTTACAAAAAAAGATATGGACCTTGTAAGCACTTTACCCAATCAATAAGATACTCTCTTCACCTATAACTAAATTTCATATTTTTTTAAATATTTTTTCTATAAATTAAAATTATGTTTGTTAAACACTCCATATTTTACAATTCCTAAATGAGGAATTTACGTAAATAACACTAAAACATAATGACTTTCTTTAAATAGCACTACATATGTTTTTTTCCAATGTAGCACTTTTAGTCATTATTCAAGTAAATGTTTGTCATCACAGGTCATTATAGGCATTATGAAGTGCTATTTAGGGAATAAAATAATTTAAGTACTATTTAGAGAAATGACTTATCTTTTAGTGCTATTTAGTGCAAATATTTCTTCCTAAATATCTACATCGGAGTAAATATTTCATTTAATTTGTAGTCATCAACCACCTAAATGAAAGGGATATGAAAATTATAGTGTCAACTCGGTCCACGCCCTCACGATGCTTACCCATAACCTAATATGCTATCTCCTTGGTGACTATCAACAGGCCAGATGAACGGCAGGAAAAAGAATATTCCAGACCGGCGCGGCAGACCGTCACAATGGATGGCCGCCGTGAATTTGCGCCGGAAAATCAGCCAGGCTTTGCACGGACGCGGACGCGGCGTCCCTCCCACCCCCATTGTAAATGCCCTAAAATCCCTAAAAATCTACCGAGTAATTAAGGACATCTTATAGCTTCATAGTTCATACTCCCATCCATACCATGTAAGATCAAAATTACATTTTTCATCATCTGATTTTGGGATGTGATAGGATAAAACAAAATGAATCTCTAAGCTCTCTGTGTTTCTTGATTAATAAAGTACTCCCTCCGTCCCGGAGTATTCGTCCAGTTTTGACTTTTGGAACTGTTCATCTAAGCAATTTGACTCATCAAATTCTCGCAATATGTAAGCCTAAATATAGTCATTTGTGATCTTGTTCGATTTGTCTTAACATATACTCCATAGATTATTAATATATAATTTCTATAATTTTTTTATATACAAATTACAAGATAAAATGGGTTAAAGAAATGGGTTAAAAAGTCACTTTCACCCCTACTAATTCTTAACTTATTTATCACATCACATTTAATCATTACTCCGTATTAATCTATCCATCAAATTCTACTTTTACTTGTCACACCAAAGGACATATTCAGAAACTCAATACCAAAATACACTCTCTTTAAATCCCTTAAAAATATAAACTCTCATGTTTTCAGGAAACAATTGAAGAGGGTGAGGGGGAGGTTTGTTCGGATCGGGGCGGGATTGGGGGGTTTACTGGGGAGGTTAGGAGGCGTAGGAACCGTTAATTTTACGAACGAGGCACTGGAGTGCCTTCGGGTCATCCAATGACATTGCTGGACAATGTCATGAGAACCGTCATCATTGTGTTTCAAAAGACATATATCTCTTATTTTAATATTTTAATATTTTTTTTTAGTTTTATGTAGGGAATTCTTCCTATTAAATCGTGCCACTATTTTCCCAATGAGCTGAATCAGATTGGGAGGAGAAATTAAAATCTTCAATTTCTATCTTTGGCAGGTCTATACTCTCTATTATACATCCAATCGTGCGCACAAAACACAACACCCATTTACAGGTGGAATCCGAAAACACATTTATACGACTTATTAGTGCACTTTGTTTTGCCCCTTCTTAGCAAGATCGGACACAACTACAAATGTGAATGCAACCATTTTGAACAATAATAATAATAATAAAATAATAACAACAATAATAATAATAATACTTATTATTATTATTATTACTATTATTATTATTATTATTATTATTATTATTATTATTATTATTATTATTATTATTATTATTATTATTATTATTATGAGTTTGGATATAAACTATATACTCCGTATTTGATTATATATATTTCTTTAAATTTGATGTAATATAATCATGGTAGTTACCGAAAATGATTTAGTTTCTTTGTAAAATTTGCAATTCCCGTCATCCTAAAATTAACTTTTGTTTACAGTATTTGTCAAGGAACTAATTTAACCAAAAATTCAAGTTTATAGTTGTGGCCCGAGAAATGCTTCTTATATTCTAACACGCTCACCTCCTCATGTGCAGACGTAGTCTTTTTTGAATTTTGCACGTGAAACCTTGATTTTTTTTAAAAAAAAAGGGTGATGTTGAGTTTTGAGCCCGTGACATCTTAATCAAGAAGCTAGATTTTGATATCATGTCTATGAACTAATTCAACCAAAAGCTCAAGTTTATGGGTGTAGCTCAAGAAATATTTCATATATTACAATAGTATTTGACCAACATTTTTTATTTTTCAAACACTTTTTTTTATTTTTGAGACACCTTTAGTTTTAGGTTATATTGGCCAGGATACCCTGTACTTTATGTTTAAACATACTTCTATTTAAAATCAAACATATTTTCACTCAAAATATATGTTTTCCTTGAATTATATTTCATGCAGGTTAAAAATGTTTCGACCTGATTAGATTGATGTTAAAAATTAAAGACTAAAGTGCCCATTACCCAAAGTTTTTGGACTGATTTGAGCAGATTAAAGGACAAATACAAGTTATTGAACACTGTTCAATGTCATGTGCAACTCATTCGAATGTGTACAATGGACAATTGCTATTTTGAGAATACCTGTCCACCTTATAATTTCTTCTAAAAACTAAGGATCAATTTTGGATGATTGATATGATATGAATTTTAAAATTTTAAAGAAAATATACGAGTTTTGAAATTTGAATGTGTTTATAGAAAATTTGAAGTGATTATGTTGTCAGTGATGACCGGCGATGGAGCTGAGGGGGATCGACGGCAAGTGAATGGCGGCGGTGGCAGGGATAACAAACAGTGGAGGGAATATCAAATTCTAAATTGATATTTCTCAGATCGATCGAGAGATCCAAAAGTCCAATAAAGATTTATATACCGGAATATATTGAATTCGATATCTGTTTGTGCTTTACCAAACACTCAAAAAAAATTTGATATCCAAGAATAAAAGTGGAACATCTTAAATTCCTATTTTAATTCATCGCAAAATAGCTATTCTAGTTTTTACTATCGTAATAAAGTAAAGGATATATAGTCCATAGTCTTTCTCCATTATTATAAACAAATTTCAATCACCACTTTTCTTTTTTTTTTAAACACCTTTTTTAAATTTCGTAAAGTCAAAGTATGACAACTATGTGGAGTAGAGGAAGTAGTCGACATTTCTTTTGATATAAACTTTAAGAAAAATAAAGTTGTGTTGTCAGACATGATGCATATGAGAGAGGAATATTCTAAGCCACAAAAATTAAACCTTTCCAAAATTAAATTGAAAGAGGACCTTTTTTGGAAAGTCCCAAAAAAATGAGAACACTGAGGTTAATGGTGTTGGCAAAAACTTTATTCTTATTGTTAGGACGCCTACTACCAAACTCGAGACCAATTCAGTTCCAAATGAGGTTAAATCAATCCTAAGATCCAAAAGTTTATCAGAGTTTACGAGGAATGCTTTCAGTCCCAGAAGAGTGGGATGAACATGTCGATGTTCTGCGCCACGTCACCGCCCGGTATCAAAACGACGGACACCAAGACAAGGTCCTCATCGATCTTTGGAGAACTTTAAGCCGTTCGCCGAAATGGCAACAACTCAACAACCCCGAGGCTGGATCGTCAAAGAAAAGATCCTCCACCGAGGTTAAGACCAATGACGCTATCAGCTCGTCGCAACAAAAGCCATTCTTCAACCTAGACAACTCTGATGACGAGGACCCTATTCCACGACGGGCACGACTGATCAGAAGAAAGAAGACAAAATTCATTGCCTCGATCGAGTTCATTAGCATCCGACTCTATTTCCTCTCAAGACAATATCGGCTAGGAAATGGTTGAACAACTGCGGGTGTTCAATCTTAGGGAGAAGAGAGGGAGAAACGAAGGTAAGAGAAGGAAGTGGTCGAAATAATGGAAACCGGTCTTGATACGTTAACGGGTTTCAAACGTATCTTTTGCGAGTGAAAGACAAAAAGAGATCAGCCAAATATAATTTGCCTTAATTTTTTTATCAATGTATTTTTTAATTAAATGTTCTTTTTTTATTTAATGAATTATTGTCGTTTAAATCTAATTAATTAATAAAGTTTTATTAGTTTAATTTTAAAAAATATGTATTAAAATATTTAAAAAAAAGTTTCAAGGTATAGTTTGAAGCTTAGCTTGGGGACTTCAAATCTATTTCTAGTGAAACTTGTATAGCAAAAAGTGAGCGCGAAAAAAGAGAGAGCTTAGCTTACTTATCCCTGACGAGCATAATAATGTACAGTACGAATTGAAGCTATGAACGAGTCACAAACTGATGATGAATCTCTTCTGGGTCTCCCCCCATATTATTATTATTATTATCAGTTGGTGGGGCTGAATTGAAGCTACTTCATATAAAAAATATTCATTATCCTTTATACATGCTCTCTATCTTACAGTATTATTATTGGTTTAATTTCTTTATGGTAGATTTTTTTATTAATGTTATTTTTGAATTGTTTTACTCCGTGTATAAACATTGGTTTAAAAACAAAAGAAAATGAAGTTAAGATCTACTCGGCGTACAACAAATCAATATCTAGATGAAGTGTCCGACTATATCAATTTATCAAATGAGAGATGAAATACTCCGTATGTAATTAAGAAAAAGAAATTTATTTAACCATATGAATAGTAAATTTAAAAAATCTAGTGTGACGGAGGAAATACATTACTTTGTGGCATCTGATACTACTTTCCCCTTCAAATCAACTTGACACTTTGATTTCACAAAGATTAAAAATTATTGAAAAATAAAAAATTTAAGTGAAAATTGTATGATTAAAATGGAGTATTTAATTTAAAAGTGGCATTCTCATGACATCGGAACCCTATGTTATGGGATGACCCGGGGTGCTCCAGTACCTCGTTCATAAAATTGATGGTTCATACCCCTCTGATCTCCCGGCAAACCCCCCCACCCCGCTCCAACCCGAACACACCTCTCACCCCCTTCAATTGCACCAAACAAGTTGATTTTAACTTTGGAGTCAAAATTTGACTCCAAAGTCAAAATCAACTTGTTTGGTACAATTGAAGGGGGTGGGGGTGTGTGTTCGGATCATGGTGTGAGGGTTTACCGGCGGGATTTGGGAGGTAGTAATCATCAATTTTACTAACGAGACATCAGAGCACCTTGGTCGGACAATGTCATGGGAATCGCCCCCTAATTAATTTAAAAGGATAAATGAAGTTTGTAACATATGTATTCTCTAAAAGATACTCTAGAAATAAAAAAGTACTTTATGGAGATGGGGAAGTATAAATAATTAAATAATGTGTATACACTAGCAATAATTTCTTGTAATAAAAGTGGAGCGGGTGAGACGTAGCTCAGTGGTTGGCATAGGAGTGTTACAAGAGAGAGAGATCTTGAGTTCGAATGAGTTCAAAGCATGATGGCTGCGATGAGAGCCAGTCATACAAACTTCTATCAAACACATAACCCCACTCACACAAAGATATAACTCAATTTACCCCTCTCAACTAATTTTTCGGCCAGTGGTTAGGGGCCTTGGTGTCATCCTTTTTTGTAATAATAGTGGAGTTTTTATTTTAAAAAAATAAATAAAACGATGGCCACAAAAAAAAACAATGCTGCAACCATTTGATATTGTCCTACTACTTTGGTGGATAAGATAATAAAGGGATTATTCTCGACCGATTGTAAGGATTTTTAAGTACTAAAAAAGTCCCTTACCCTAAAAACTGCAAAAAAAAAAAGAAGCTAACATTCAATGAATTCTAATGCAAGTTTTAACTAGTATTGGTTGGATAAATTTTTAGAATGATACCTTAAGTTTTACTTAAAACTTTTCACAAAAATTTTAATTTGATACCTGAATTATAGGGTTTTAAAACTTTTCACAAAAATATTTAAATATTTACGATCCTTTTACTAATAATTTTTTTGTTGTTACGAGAGCGAGATTATTAGATAAAAAATGAAACTTACAATAACTCACTTAGGACATGATCTTAGATTGCAATGTATAGAAATCAAAGATTAAAGTTTTAAGATATTCCTTTCCCGAACTAACCGACACAGTTTGACTTTACGAAGTTTAAACAAAGTGTTAAAAAAATAAAATGTAAATAATTGAAATTTGTTCAGAAGAAAGCACTATGAGCCCATCTTTTTATTTTATTTGAAAAGTAGAGAAGTATTTCATATACTCCATCTGTCTCTAAATAGATTACAATTTTTCTCTCTCCTCTCGATAACCTTTGTTTGTTTACGCGATTTCATTATATATTTGATAAAATAAAATATTCTTGTCATCTCTTGTTTTGTAAACAAATTGGGGACGGAGGAAATATGAATTAACCAAGCACAGCTAAAAAAGAAAGTATATGAATTACTACGTATTTCACAATAGAAGAAATAGTTTAATTAGTGAGTATTGGACTAATTTCGATCCTTTGCATGGTCTCGAGTCAAGGTCTTCTAAAAACAAGTTCTTTATCTATTCAAAAAGAGTTAACGCCTGCATATTCCCCGTATAAGTTCAATTGCTTGTAATTCACAATATTTGATTAAAATTATTTTCAACATATTTTATTTTAAAATAGATATATAGATAAAAAGGATTAAAATTTACATATTTAAAATTACACCAATAAAAGAAAATGTAACATGATTACATGATTATATTATTTGATCAAAAGATCAATGAAAATAGGTGTATAAAAAAGAGACATAATTAGATTGTGTAAATACTAAACATGACAATTCTTTTGGGACGAATGGAATAGTTCACTTCTTAGATCTTCGGTTAATTACATTTTCTAAAATTCAATGCACTATATTGACTTCCATCAGTTTTTTATAAGATCGAAATCTCTTTTTTTTATGTCTGTGTTTGTATGAGCGAAAAGAATGATGTGCAAAAACAAGCATAGAAACAAGCAAACATTGAAGTCCAAAAGAGTACAGATCCAAAACATTTCTTTGAGCCACCAACTATGAATCAACAACAAGCGCCCATAGAAGAGTTTTGAGATCAATTTCAAACCCTTAATAAAACAATCTATCACTTAGCAAAGAAATACATTATTAAGGCTTAATAAGTTTTGTATCATTTAAAATGAAAATCCAAACAACAATGACACTCAAATGTGCAAGCGGCAAATGAGCAGCATATCACCCACACTGATGCTNCCCCCCCGGGAAAAAAAAAGTGATCCTTAGCTCACTGATCTTTTCGAGCCTTGGATTTCGATGGCCTCGCTGGTTTAATGACATTACCGAGCAGGGTCAAAGCAATAGGCACAACCGTCCCCACATAGTATACGCTGCCATATGAAGCCACTGTTTCATGGAGGCTCAATACCTGCAACACATCAACAACAAACCCAGTAAAATCCCTTCAAAAAAGTAGAGTCTGGAGAGGGTGTGGGTAAGTACACTTTTACCCCTACTCAGGAGTAGAGATGCCAAATCCCATAAAAAGGTGGGGCCATGGGGAGGGTATGTGGGCAAAGTTTTAAAAAAGAAAACTTGGACAAGCTAGGAACTTACCATGAAACCAACACAAGAGTAATTGAGAACCAGAACAGTGTAGGCAAAGTTAAAGAATGCTAGAATCATCTTTGCGATAGGACTGCTTATAGCTTGTTGCCATCTGTAAATCACTGTTTGTAGATCGCGGGAAAAAAAATAGATGTAAGCAATCACATTGACTCAAGTTAGTAGCCGCAATCTAAGAGATGAGTAAAGCTGTTACCTTTTGAACCAGAAATCATAATGGCAGATTGGACAAAGAATATAATGTACCCGGGGTATAAACCCTGGAATGTTGAGGAAAGAAACCACTATTTAGACAAGATGTTCGAGAATGGAGTCTTACACTATGTTTGGTTCAAGGAATTCAGAAGGGAAAAGAAAAGGAAGGAAAAACAAATTTAGTGTTTTGTTAGAAAGGAAAATATTAAGAAATAATTTCCCTACCAATTTTCCTACTAACCAAACAAGATTAAGAACTCTGATTTCTTTGACTTTGTAGTGTTGCATTAAAAGATGGTCAAAAGTAAAAACAGATGGCGATTAAAGCAGAGAATTTATTAAGGACACAGAAATTCAATTGAAGAACAGCCAAAGAAGTTCATTGTTCCAAATTGATTTGAAATGAATGCCGAAGAGATGACAATTGGGAAAAAAAGAGAGGAAATCATTACATTGTTAAGCGGTATGGAGAAAATTACAATACATTCCAAAAGACTTGTTGGATTCATTTGTTGAAAATTGTGTTAAGATGAAAGCTTGCTGCAATTAATATTTCAATTGAAGTATGGGACACGGTTAGTCAACGAGTTTATGGTAATAGATAACTTACATGCCATACTGCGCTGACCGTCTGAGTAGCCAACAACTGGAAGAAACCAGGCTTCTTTCCCTTTTGGATGAGCCTCTCATAGACATCTAGACAATTTCCATAATTAGATTAAAAAAAAGTTCTGTAGCAATTCGCTGCCTATCAAAGTTCTATCTCATTGACTAAAACGGTATCAAGCATTACATAGTTATCACGGCATAAGACCCAGTGTTAAATTATGGAGAAAGAATGTTAGTTTATTTTTTTTCTAAATCCATCTAATTTCAGTAATCCTAAATTAGCAATCCCTTGACAAGCTATAAAAATATTGCATGGCACTGTGGTATCACAGATTACATGAATCAAGAGAAAAATATGCAGAAGTTGCCTAGATGCAATAAGATTCCGTAAGTGAGCATTTGCTTGCCATCCATTAGTTGGTTCTTAAATATGTAATTAATAAAAACAGATTTTAGTTCGCTCCTAATTTCGTGCTCATATATAACTAACTCCACAGTCCACACCATCGGATAGTAGAGATCTCCCATGCAGAAGTCTACTAGAAATGCAAACAACCCAACACCAAGACTAAATGGTAGAATGTCACATCATATGAGAGTAATGAAACTTTCACCCGGCGTTTCTTATTGATTTTTCAGATGCAACTTTCAGCACCAAAATGAAATTTATAAAATTTCATCAATCTAACTAAGAAAGATGTGAGAATTTAGTATGACAGCAGAATTTAACACTTCACTAGTCTTCCACACAAGTAAATATTGAAAAGACTGCACTTACAATGACGTAGCCAGGTGCTGACTTGTATGTTCCATACAAGAGGTAACTCAACTGAACTTCTTGCCAGTTCAACACCTAATATGTCTACATTTTTTGCACGGTCCCAACGTGGTTTTGGTTTTGAAGAATCAGTCCAACCACTGAAACCCAGACCAGAAATAATGATAGAGGCTTCTGAGATTGACCATATAAAATAATACTTCCAACGTGCAGTGAAGCCAGACATGTACTGATAACCCAGCCGTTTCCAAAATCCCCATTCTTGGTATAATGAATCAGTAAATCTGGAAAGAGGGAAATAAGGGACCAAGTACAGATAAATTCCCATACAAAGAGCTGCTTGAAAAATAGCCCTTAATGTTGGCACAAAAGGCGAAGGATGCCCTTTCTCTGAAGGCTTCCATATCTGGACATGTCAATGCGGGAAAATAGGTAACATCCTCAGAATTATTTAGTGACAAGAATGCCATACAAAATGAATATATAAGAATGCTTTTCTTACTCCTTTTCTCTCCGTCCATTCAAGGTAATCTTTCATTTCATAGACTGGACCGGCAAAATGGCTTCCACAACAGAGGCAATAGCCACAGTACTCAAGCAATGATGGCCGATGGATCAAACGATTTTTTTTCTGTGCCTGGCTTAAACCCTCTTCTTTATGCATTCCATCTTGGTAATTTATAACACACGAAATGATTTTCAGGGTAATCACCATTAAAGCACCTATCGTTCGGAAAAAGAGATCGTCAATAACAGTCTATTTTGAACTTAACACTTTAACAGTAAGCATTTTTTAGGGGACTTTAACAGGAAGTATAATTCTAAATGGAATTATAATCATATCTAAATACTACAGCACTCTTTCTAAACCGGAAACTTGAAAAATTAAATACAGTAAGGAACAAGAAACTAAGGATCAGAACACTGTATATTTATGATGATGTGATGATCCTATGAATATCAAGCTTATTCCATAACATGCAGCTTTTCCTACTGCTGAAAGCAATTCCGTGGAATATATTGCTGAAGAAGTCCCACTAAAAACGGGACAAAAATGAATACAGAATATTGTTTCCTTCTTTATATAAATGGACTTATGCCTGAATTCCAAAGTCAGTGGTCTTTTTACAGAAAACAAAAATGTAATGTACTCCGGTCAGTGGTGCTATTCATTCATAAACAGACTTTTGAAGCTAGGCTTTTTTACTGGGCTTGACATGTCTCTAAAATGCTGCACTATGGACACCAAATGAGTTTTCTCCCATGTTCAATGTTTAGGTTAAGTGAAAAAATGATAGTGTTTCGAGCATGCTCTTTTATATATTACTCCGTAATATATTCGGGGTGTTTTGGTTTGTCTTTGTTACTAAGCCAAGGTAGACTAGAAGGAAATTTGGTGTACAGAACAAAAGAAGCATATTCTCCAATTAAAAAAAAATTAAACAATAAACAAAATATATGCCTGAAATATTGAATCCTCTACAAACAACTCTATGAGTCTAGGGTAGTAGACAGAATAGTAATCACCTGTAGCATCAATTCCACCTTCTTTCCATGCATCCCCACTCATGTAGTATACATGGCTACACATATACACACAAAGGCAAGAAAGAGCTTGAGTATTTTGAAAATAGTTGAAACCCAAATTTAACATCATGCAATCATCCAAAGGGTAAATAAACAATCCCATTGTTGTTTATTGCTGATTACTAGTGGCAAAAATGGCATATTTTAAAAAATGCATACTTTCAAATTTTGCATTCAACTTTTAGATCGTTTATATGATTAAGCAGTCCAAGCACATTGGATTGAATTGCTAGAAGAAAAAAAAATATGAAAAAAAACTAGTTTTTGTCTTACTTTCCTCAACCTGCTGCTGAAAAAGTAACCAAACTAGTAGATTCAATCCTCAAAACATAAAATTCAAAACTTGCCACTAGAACTAAGCAATTCCCCTAAAAAAATTAGTTTTGTGCTTTGATACTGCTGATATCCATTTTCAGTCTTTGCTTAAATATCAATGCATCAAAATTTGCTCAAAATTATATCAGAATGAAGAAACATAAAAAAATTAAAATGAGGTAAAAAGGGGGAAAAGGGGTGAGGGGATGAACAGAGACTTTACCATCCAATGAGATAGCCAAAGGCCAAGAAAAAAGTGATGGCCCCGCAATAAGCGCGGCTAACGAGCATCGAAACGTATCCCAAGAGCATGGGAACCAAAAAGTGGAGATTCGACGAAAACCCAAAAGACAAGTAAGAGAGCCCGGCGCCGGTCACGGCGGCGTAGACGTGCCTCCCGGCTGCGCCGCCGGGCATAAACCGATGGAACAAGCTCACCGGAATAGTGGCAGCGAAGCACAGCAGGAATCTGAGCACCGGCACGGACACTCCGATCGCCGACGCCATCGATTCCATCTCCGGCAACCCCATATCTTTAGATGAACACGGATCTCGATTCCAAGAAGAATCGGAAAATTGAGAAATTGACCGGAATCAAGAGGTGCAATTATTGTGGCATATGGCCATCGATCATTGGGTACCCTAATACGGATTTCCGTACTCCATTTTTAGGGGGCAGTCGGAATTTGCTACGTGAAATCTGGCAACAAATGTACCATACCAAATTGATGACGGGTCGGAGATGATCGTAGTACACCCAGGACTGTACTTGATGCCCTCATTGGGCCACCGGTAAGCCCAAAGTCACGTCATTGGGCCACTGGTGAGCCCAATGTCACGTCATTGACACATCTAGACATTAATGCTTAATTGTGTTTGTATTGAAGTGTGTATTAAGTGTAAAAATTATAGTCCCCCTAGCATTTTTGTTATAGCATTATCAGTCAGATAGCGGCAAAGCACTATCATGTCTAGCTTGCTCTTTTAATGAGTTTTTTTCTCTAATCGGGCAGTTCAGCAGTTATTTCGTCATAAAAATGATCTTCATCTCTCTACTTATTTAGGTGACATCATTGATGATTACAAGTGCAACAACAACAACAACCCAGTTGAATTCCATTACAGTAGGGTCTGGAGAGGGTGTGTGTACGCAAACCTTGCCCCTACTCGAAAGTAGGGAAGCTGTTTCCAAGAGACCCCCGGCGCAACCTGCACAAAAACTATGGTAGGGAACACAATATAACAGGATAACAGGATAAAACACCAAGTACAATGAAATGAAAGTCCAGCCAGCAAAAGTAGAAGATATCAAACAAACACAACACACAACAAAAAACCTCTACAGCACCGAGCTCCTAACCAGCTACTCTAATCATAGTCCTCCAAAGGTTCCTATCTAATGTCATATCCTCAGTCAGGGTGAGAAGTCATAAATCCTACCTAATCACCTCCTTCCAATTCTTCCTATGTCTACCCCTTCCCCTACTTCCCCCGATAACCGTGATCCTCTCGCACTTCCGCACAGGGGCATCAGCATCCCGCCGTCTCACATACCTAAACCATCTCAACCTCGCTTCCCGCAACTTATCTTCCACCGGTACCATGCCTACCTGACGTCGGATAACTTCGTTTGAAATTCTATCCAACCTTGTCTTCCCACACATCCATCTTAACATCCGCATCTCCGCGGGCGCCATGCCTACCTGATGATTGCAAGTGCATTTATGATTATGTTTGACTCTAATTCTGTTTATTTTGTTTGACGTTCGTCAAATATTTTAACTCATGCTAGAAGAAGCAGTGGTTCTCTTTTTGTTTGGAACTCGATTCCCCGGAGTTTCTTCTGTCTTTGATGGATTAATGGTATGCTTTTTCCACCCTAAGAAAATTAGTTTAAATGAACAAATTTCAGTTAATTCAACATAACTCAATTCAAATATAGTCATAACATTAACTTAAAACGTGGAACTTAGGAGAGTGTATTCAATCCAGATTTTAATAGATTCTGATACATTGTTTAAAATTCATGAATTCTATAAAATCAATAGATTATTTTAAGTCTACGTAGAGTTAGATGGATTTTAATTTATTTTTAAGAAGGATTTCTTATGATTTTGAATTTCTGACAGATTATTTGTAATCAATGAATTATATATATATAAACATTTTTTTTCCTTTTCTTTTCTTTTATTTATGAACACTATTTTTCCATTATTTTTCTTTCCTTTTCAGTTTTCCCTTTCCTTTTCCTTTTTTTCTTTTTCCTTACTTTTTCCCTTCTTCCCCCACGTTCCTTCTTTCCTTTTCTTTTTCTCTATTCCTTTTTCTTTTTTCTTTTTCTTTTCTTTTTCCCTTCTTCTCCCACAAACCCTAGCCGCCGCCATTCTTCTTTTTTTCTTGTTTCTTTCGTTTGCCGGCTTAACTCCCACGCCGCCGCCGACGCCACCATCGTCGCGACCCAGATCCTTGGCAAAGGCACCATCGTCGCTCCCCATCGCCGCCGACGCCACCATCGTCGCTCCCCGTGCTAAAAAACCGATCCTTGGCAAAGACACTTACGTCCGGCAGTTCATCACTGCCTCTCTTCTTATTCTTCTTTTTTCCTACGCTAAATAATAATTTCAGAAAAGAAACTGATAGAAGAAAAGAAAAGAGGAAAAGATGAAGAAGAAAGGAAGAAGAAGAACAGAGAAGAAACAAGGAGATGATGAAGGAGAGATGAAAAAGAGAGGATGAAGGGGAGACGAAGAAAACGCTGGGAGGAAGAAGATGGTCAGATACTGGGATGAAGGACGTAAAGAGTTTACAAAGGAGTTTATAAAGTCTCTAGCTTTTGGGTGAGATTTGGGATTTGATTTATATTTATACCCAATGCTTAACAATCCATCAAAATCTGCATTTTTAAAAATCCTTAAAAATCTATCAAATTTTTGAATACCATCATATTCAGAAGGACTTTTAAAAATCTTAATTGAATACATTTAGATTTTAAATGACTTTTTAAAATCTAAATTGAATACCTACAGATTTTCAAAATCCAAAAAAATCCATGAATACACCCCCCTTAATAAAAATTTGAATACTACTTCCTGTATCGGTAGTGAAATACTTCAATGATAGATTGTTCCAGTCACAGATGGGATTTTTAAAGCAGCGAAAAGATGAAAAGGAAAGAGGAAGCTAGGACAGTCATAAACATGGTTATTAACACCTATGAGAGCAAAGAAGCAAAGCAAAAATAATGTTACAACTAAGTACTAACACAACATAGAGTAAAAATAAAACTGACAGAAATGGAGCACCTTTACAGAGGAAAAAGATTTGAGAATACTTCTGCAAATCTGAATAGAGCATAATATCCCGATTGAAGACACACTAAAATGCCTTCAAAGACAGCTGAAGCTGTAAGAGAAGCAGACAGTCAACTATTGCAGCTGCCAACAAACACTGCGAACAATGCAAAACCCCCCAAAACTGAACCACCAAACCTATGATTAAAAAATCCTAAGAAAAAAATCATTAATTAACAACTACCAATAAGAACTAAACCAATACTTGGGCAAAGGATATGTAGTATATCTCTAAATCATTAATGAATACAATGAACTTGAATTGGATACATAATAAATGACATGATAGTGAAAAGGATAGATAAACAAAAGTGGCGTTAAATAATGAAGGCATATGTAGCCTCAATCTGAGCTTACTCTCAAAATTAAAACCAGCAGCTCAAAAATGGGTTAGGGTGAATATCTAGTTGGCCTAACAGCAACTGCCAGTATGCGATCTGTAATAAAATTAATATCCTAAGCGTACACCAAAGACATTGTGGTCAAGCGGCATCATGGTGGCTCCCCAATGTGGGAGGTCACAGCCCACAAGTTCGAACCCAGTGGGGCGATAACTCTACGTGCTTAATAGGTTGAGAATGTATGATTTTCTGTATTCTTTGACTTGGTTATTTTTTCATTTTTCTTTCCATTAAACTTATGATTACTTGAATACCCATTTCAAACAGAAACGCTTTCAAATTTATTGATCTATACCTTTCTAAAAACTAATATTATCTACTTCAAGAGTTGAATGGTTGAATGAAAAAGAATCTGAAATAGAAAAATAGGTTGTAAGAAATAATGAAGTCTAACCATTGTTCTCTTATCAATGAAGTCTAACCATTGATCCTCGAATGGCAGATGTAGCATGTTTGCTTCCAGCACATTAATCACTACCAGAGATTGAAAGAATACCTTCAAAGTCAGGTAAGTCTGACCAATGTGAGAACCCTAATAAGCAAAGTGAAAAGAATGTTACAACTAACACAACATAGAGTAAAATTAAAAATGACAGAAATGGAGCACCTTTACGGGTGAAAAGGATTTGAGAATACTTCTGCAAATTTGAATAGAGAATCTAACCATTGTTCCTTTATCTACTATTACATCAAAACATTGATCCTCGAATGGCAGATATAGCATGTTTGCTTCCAGCACCTTAATCACTGCCAGAGATTATAGTATTAAGAACTAAACATAAGACTCAATTATAGTATTAAGAAGAATATACATAAGTTTCTCTAAACTTAATAAAAATTTGAATACTACTTCCTGTATCGGTAGTGAAATACTTCAATGATAGATTGTTCCAGTCACAGATGGGATTTTTAAAGCAGCAAATTACATACAAAATTTTTGCAAAAAGAGAGATAAAATACAAAAATTCGTTTGCATAATCCATCCATTTTTCAATTCATCTGCATAAATTGTACAATGCTAATAGCTAGTAAATTGAATACTCCGTATTTATTACCAGGGCACTGCTTATGCGACACCTGCAGGAAATTGGGGACGAAACCCTGCGGCAATTAGCCAAATTTCACGATTCCAGAAGTAGGGATTCGAGAATACCTCTGTAAATCTCAATAGAGCGTTATTTCGATTAAAGACACAGTAAATTGGGAATTTAATTCCCCCTCTATTGCGTTGTCCAAAGGTTTCCCATGGCGACTGGCGAGAGGCGAGTCAGGTCATGTTTTAAATTTGACGGAAGTTTAACGAGTGAGGATATTTTTGGCTGAAAAAGTAAGGGTACAACTTTCTAAGCATGGTGTACAAAATATATGGATGGAAAAAGTGCATCTTTTTAAAGGGTACCTAACCCTCTTTCCCATTTATATTTTATATATATATATATATATATATATATATATAATATATATATATATATATATATATATATATATATATAAAAGAAAGATATATATGTAAAAGAGAGTTCTTTAGTTGTGGTAAAGACATGTGGCATATGACATGGAATTTTTTTATCCACATGGCATAATGTCATTATTTTATTGGTCTACATGGCATTAATTAGAATGTTTTTTATTTAAAAAACTATTCATGATTATTGTATTTAATTATAATAAATTTGTATATATAAAACTTTTCATCTTCTAATTGTTATACTAATATGTCTTTCATCATTTTAAAATATATGTTAATGTGTTATTATTTAATTGCTTTTTTCAAAGGGTTTATAAACTTTTTAAAAATTTTAAAAGAAAACACTTTGTATGAATTTTTACACCATTTTCTCTTTTTTATTACATTTTAAAAATATATATTTATATGAAATATAATACATTTGCATCATTATTTTGTATCTACTATTAAAAATATTATATTTAGTAGTTAAAAGTTACAGAGTATATATATATATATATGCACATATTTAGTATTTCACCATATTTTCTTTTATAACCTTTCGAAAAAATAATTATATAAAGTAACATATCTAATAACCTAGCTAAGATAAACTATTATATATAAATTTTAGAGCATATGAAATATTTTAAACATACAATTTTTTTTAGAAAAATATCATATCTAATAATAGTCTAGCTACAATAAATTATCATATCCAAATTTCTAAAAAAACTTATAATTCATGTCATATTATTATTAAAAAAATTATAATAAATAGACATTGTGATTGAATGACTTAAAGAGTTATTCTCTTATTTATTTAATGTGAGTTTTATTTTTTAATATAATACGGAATAATAATTTTATAGCTATACTTATAAAAAAGTATGCGAGCCTGTGCGAAGCACGGGGTAAAAACTAGTAAATATTTAAATTATAAATACACACTAGCAATAATTTCTTGTAATAATGGTGGAGCCGGGCGTAGCTCAGTGGTTGGCATGAGGTTGTTACATGCAAGAGACATCTTGAGTTCGAAGCCTTGTGGCTGCAATGAGAGACAGCCATGCAAAACATATGACTTCTGCAAGTATGAGGCACGGAACTCCACTCTTACGCCAACTGACTAAAATTATAACTCAATTTACCTCTTCTCAGCTAATTGTCTGGGCGGTACTGAGGAGCCCTCGGGGATGGGGTGTCATCATTTTTTGAAATAATAGTGGAGCTTTTATTTCAAAAAAATTAAATAAAACATTGGCCACCAAAAAAATGCTGCCACCATTTGATATTGTCCTACTACTTTGGTGGAAAAGATAATAAAGGGATTATTCTCGACCGGTTGTAAGGATTTTTAAGTACTCCCTCATCCTAAAATTAACTTCTCATTTGACTTTTCACGGTCTCCAATGCGACACTTTGACTATCAATATCTCAATTTTTATATAAATATATTTTTATAAAAATTATATATTTCAAAATTTTATTCCAAAATGAATTTATTGCTAATAAATTTATATGAAAATTCAATGTATTTTTTCGTAATATACGGTCAAAGTTGAAAAAGTTTGACTGCAAAAGTCAAACTGAAAAGTTAATTTCAGGACGGAGGGAGTACTAAAAACGTCCCTTACCCTAAAAACTGCAAAAAAAAAGCTTACTGACAATTGTCAGGGGTTGGCGAAGGAGGCAAGATAATGTGTGGCAAGAGAGTAAGACCAGAGTTTAATTTCTGGCAACTGCACTAAGAGCTAACAATGCTAGGCATAGAGCCTCTGCAAGTATCAAGTGCAAGCTCCACTCTTTGACACCAATCTACGTTCAAAGTCTAATTTATCTTTTCTCATTAACTTTCCGACCGAGTCTAAGTGGGCCTCGGAAATGCGGCTCATCCTTTTTTCTACAAAAAAAACTGAATTCTAATGCAAGTTTTAACTAGTTTTGGTTGGATAAATTTCGAGAATGATAACCTAAAAAAACTAAAACTGGAGGATATTGGAAGGGGGGGTTTGAATGATAATTCTAAAAAGATAAAAATACAAATAAATTAAAGATAAGGATAACATAAAAGAGATGGAACCAGAACAACAAGCTCGAAACTCGGAAGACCACTCAGGGAGAAAACAATGATGAGTTTATTCTTTATTTCTAATATTTTCTTTTTAAATATTATTTTTTTACATAATTTTCTATTTAGTTTTAAATTATTACAAGTATTTTTTTATTATAATTTATGATTTTTTATTTTAAAATTTTATTTATTTATTTATTAGCTCTTTTTTTTTTTTTTAGGTATTTATTTCTTCTATCCCAATTTATATCGCCTATTTTGATTTGCGATGTTTGACTGCAGTTACTTTCAAATAATTTTATATGAAAAAAAGGTATAAAGATAAAAAAAATTATATAGTAAAATACTGTGTCAAAATATTTACAAAATTAGTGGTGACATGATTATTTTATTTTATCAAATGACTGCGGAAAATAGAGAAAGTAAATAAAGTTTAACTATGTGAATAGTAAACAACATTAATTTGGGACGGAGAAAGTATTTATTATCATTGTTATTTATTGCATCAAAATTGGGTGAGATCTAAGGGTCAGGATTGCATCAAAATTAGGTGCACCAACATTAATTTGGGACGGAGAAAGTATTTATTTATATATTTAGTTCGTGCAACAATACTTGCAAAACAATAGTTACAAATAAGTAAAAGAAAAATGCCAATAGTCCGGCCCAATAATTTGCCCTATTCATGAGAGGGTGTCGTCTTTGGTAATTACCTGCGCTCTTCGTTACATTGACGAGGGTAAGTCTTGTTTCGATCAACGGCTCTTTTTCGCTCTCGTCTTGAAGGTAATATTTTGCCTCCTACTCTGCCTCATCTCTGGTCTGTGATGTTTTTTCCCTCAACTCTAACCCCTCAGTTTGAGGATTTTTGTATTTTAAACTTTTGAAGCTCAATAGAAAAAGTTCAAAAAAAAGGGGTTATTTCTGAAAAGCTTTAGGGATAGAGGTAGGGGAAGAAAAATAGTTTGCATATTCTACGGTTTTGCTATTACATGTATTTGCATTTGCAGATAAATCATGGAAAATAGAATCCCAATCAGCTTAGACGAAGTGCGTGGTACTTTAGAGAATATTGGAATTGGGGAACCTGTAAAACCCAAGTAATGTTTTAATATTTGGATGAAAGTGCAACTCCTTTTGTTTTTTTTTTAAATGCCTCAAATTTGTAATTGAGATCTATCATGAAATGCAGGGAAAATTTTCTCCAGATTTTAGGTATTACACAAGCAGAAAGTGAGTTGTCATCTATTGATCCTCCCTCCCTGGAAATGTTATGCTACTTGTGGCTTTCAGAAACTTCACTTGGGATCCCATTCGAGTGGGAGGTGGTAGGAGACCATAGTGATAGGATGTTATTATTGGTCATGGTTTAAAAGTTCAGTTCTAAAAGAAATCGTTTATATCTTTCTGCACAGTAAAGCTAGATGATCTTCTATGATATAAACAAATATGATATATGGATTTATACCTGTGTCTTAGTGTTGTATTCGGTGACTGCCCACAGTTTATCAGTAGTCATGTATGTAGCTTTCACTCTCTAGATGACTGCATTAAAAATTTGTGATGTAAAAATAGCCTTCAATAAGTGTATAAACAAGCACATTCCGTTTTACCTTTCATACTGCATATCATGTGACACCTAAGGTACTCAACAACATAGAAGGAATCATATTAATGAACTTCCTGATAACATAAATCAATAGTGATCCCCAAAAGAAAGATTTGTTTTTTTCCTTTCTAGATGCAAACCGTATTCCCTAGTTCTATTCGGAAGGGAGGACCATTTGTTCCATAAATGGAATGACTGATACCAAGAATAATCTCGAAAAAAATAGAACAATGCCCCATCCAAAAGAACTATCAGAAATAGAAATATCAAACATCTCAGAGGCAATCAGTTGGATCAGAAAATCATGCTTCTATGGACTAATAGCCAATGATCAAGACAACAAACAAGTTTGGCTATCAAGATGTCCTGAAGTTCAGTCAGAAGTCCACTCAAAAGCCATGGTATGCAAAATATTATTCTTTTCTTTATTTGTGCAAAATGAAAGGTGTTGACTTTTTTACTTTTTCTTGATAGTTGAAACAAAGATTCATTGATTCATGTGGAGTTCTAAGCTCAGCATTGTGGGACAATGCCTATTTACTTGATAAACTGTAAGTTTTTTTTTTCTTAACACATTATTACACATGGTTTTAAAAGGCATTCGAGGCGGCGGTAAGGCGGTGAGGCAGGCCTTTTAAGCCTGAGAGGCGTACGCCTTGCCGGGCCGAGGCGGTATGAGGCGGTTGAGGCAGTGAGGCGAAAATGAGGCGGTAGCCTCGCTTCAAATTAAGATTTCAGCACCTATGGGTTAAATGATGCTCCGTACAAAGCAATTGGGCCTTAAAAAAATCTTGGGCATTAGATTTTTGTTAAAA